TAGCAAGTACAACTAAATACAATGTTCTGCATTGACTTTTGGACTCCTTCCAAAAATATTTCAGAATGTTTTTTTTATTTCGTGCTTGTGAAGGAGAGTTTATTTGTGCTGTACACATTAAAATTTGATTAACATATTTTATGGACCGTAAAGCACTGCCAGATTATGAGTAATAACCTCTCTGGAAAAAAATATAAATGTGTGGGAGCCTTATAAATGAAAGTTTATGTCTGCAGGGAGTTGGGCATTGAATTCTTTGACTGGGAGTTCAGAAGAAGTACAATAGAAAAAAAAAACCCAGCAATAAAAGCCTTGTAGAGTCAGGCTACGCAAAACACTTTTAGATTACTTACACAATATCGTCTAATTTTATTACGTGACAACATTTGTTCTTGAATTTTATGCTGAATACAACAATCAGAGAATTAGAAGATGATAGATTTTAGAGTAATTTAGTGTGGAGAATACTAGGATAGAATTTAGAAGGCATGTCTGTGGTTTACCATAAATTTTATCACTGAATTATTTGGATAAAAGGCTTATGCACATCAAGTACTTTAGTTCATTAGTACAGTATATCATTTTTCTCATTTGCTGCGATAATGAATTATTCTTTTGGCATTGCTTTCTAGATCATGTGTTCTAATTATATAAATCTCCTCTTTCATTATTTGTAGTTCTGTCCTCCTCTCTTTTTATAGTTTCACCTCTGATAAGGCTCCCTTTCTTCCTAAAGTCTTCTTAGACTCTCAAACCGCATCTCATATCTTGACAGATAAATACTGTTATCTCTATCTTTATAAATACTGTTATACTGTTAGTATGTAGCACACAAAATGGCTTATTTGAGAGAGCAGAACTTGTTCAAGATAAGATAAAGGCATGCTTAGTGAAAAGGGCAAAATATGAGAATGAGATTTGATTTTATCGTGGCAGACTGGAGAAAATGAACAATGGTCCTACTGTTCCATTTGCACATTCTCTCAGTTTCAGTTTTTTCAGGTCCTGTGCCATCTCCTGACTTGGGAGGTCCCCGAAACTATACAGTCAAGAGCCCACCATTGACAGGGTACCCACAGACATCTACCACAAAAAGAAACTTCACCATAATTATGAATGCTGGTTGGCGCTGTTTCCATCCACGTCTGCAGAAAGAGTTTGAACAAGACTGGGCATGTAACCCACAGAGGTTTCAAAAATTGTCTGCCCAGTCTTTTTTCTATCTTCCAGCATCTGCTTCAATGGTGTGGTTCCTCTCCACTAGCCTAGCAGTTCCCGAAAGAATTGATATCTGGTGTTTTCACTGGTCAAGTGAGGAAGGAAATCTCTTTTGTGCTTCTCTAGTTCGTCACACTCCTGAGTCTAAGTCATTGGAATGAGAGGGGATGGGTGGGAGCTAATATTTTGGTCACTGGGTGTATATCATACATGCAGTTGCACTAGAACAACTGCTTATCCGGCATGTCAGTGCAGTAAAATCACTACTGTTGAGTCTTCGGGACTATTAAGACATTTTAAAAATGACAGGAGACTATTCAGCCATCTGCTCATTTGGGTAAGTCAAATTTCTCTGTGGAAGAGTGCCACTTGTGAGATACTGTTGAACTTTTGTTAATGAGCTTCTGCTGGAAAATTCTGAATATCTTGGCAGTGAGCTATTTTTGAAATGCCTAAAAATACATCAGCTGAAGAACAAAGGACTGCTTTAATCTGACTTCTGGGAATGCTGTCATATCCCTTGGTTGAGTCATAAGGGTATCTTCGGTGGGTCCACCAACACACCAAACACACAGCTGTAAGGTTGAAAGCACCTGTGTGCGTTATTGTGCAGTGAAAATCAAAACACCACAGCCAAAAACCAACACAAAAACCTCAGCCTTTCAAGTCCCTGCCTGGACTTCTCATGGCGGTGAGACTGGTTTGGCTTAACCGGCTTGGTTTATCGTGGTTAAACCACTTTCAGAGTAAGTGCATCAGCAATTATGAATGCTGAAAAATAAGGACCCTGTGCAGGGCTCAAATAGGCTTATTCCCCGAGCAGTAGTTGGAAGTCAAAATAGAAAAGGAAACCAGTCCTTATATCCGAAATCTGAAGGGCAGGCGCTGGTCAAGACCAGGCAGAGACAATACAGCAAGGCAACCAATCCAAAAACGCCAAGGCAGAGACGTGGTCAGAATCTAGTGAGAAATGGGAAGTAAGGGATAGAACAGGCTTTCGAAGGAGGGTTGGTACGCGCACTAGGGAGCTCCAGGGAAAATCTGAAATCGTGAGCGATGGTCAGGGAAAAGAGGGAGGTTGCGGCATGAGTGTCTGTTAGAGTGGCTGCACGTGGGAATGTGACTGTGTTTAAGCAAGTGCGCAGTTTGAGTGCAGCCAGTTGACCTTGGACCCCTTAGAGGTTTTTTTTTCCCTCCTTACCAAGGAGTTTTTGGTTCCTCTCCTCCGTTGTCTTCTGGTCTTTTCTGTTCTGTGTTCACAACATGCGTGGTCACTTGCATTGTTAAGCGCCTTGGGGGCAACCTTGTTGTGAAAGGCGCTATATAAAAATAAATTGAATTGAATGGCGTGCGTGCGGAACGGGTGACTAAGTGGACCATCCTCTGGTTGTATTTGTATTTTTAAATTCTTTATACATTTAATCCTTTTTTTTTAAAAAAAGACAAAGTGGACCAACGGGAGATTGCAAGCAGAGATAGGGTGGAGGAGGAAAGCTTGAGATGAATGTGAAGGGAGATTTGTGTTTGATATATAGTGCTAATGTCTGTAATGGTGATTGTTACCAGCTGTGTGAGAATGACTTGTCATTATCCTTCCATTTAATGTTTTCATTTCTCCTCCAGCATGCTTTTTTTTTGTGTAGAATTCTGAGGACACCCTTTACTGTCTGAAAATACACTTCCATGCTGTGACACACTGTTTGAAATGAGTGTTGCTGGGAATATAATTTCCCAAATTTTGTCAGTGTTAAGAAGGATGGCTTGGTCTCACTGCTCAACATCTCCCTTGTGCTTTTATAAGCTTTTTTTTGGGGGGGGGGATATCAGGTCTGATATTCTTAGTTGAGCTTGTGTAGCAGGGTTCCAGACTGGAGGGCAGGGCCTGACAACTGCTCCGTGAGACAGCTGGGTGTCAGCTTCTCTGCATATGATGCCCGCATGGTCCTGCTTCACACTGGGTGTAACATTAAAAAGCATTCATGTTAATAATAATGGTAATGTTAAATCGAGAAAAATCTCTCTGAGAAGTATTGAGCAGTTTCCCTAAATGGGGTAACAGGGTTGTGTGAGTTACATTGAAATGAAGTTTAAACTGAAGTGTGCTTTATTGCAGAATGGGAGCCCTCTGTTAGTGAGAATCTAGCTGAGCTGTCTACTGAAGTCAAGTGAGGCTGCATTTCAGTTTCTGCTTATTAAGAGTTAATCAGAGGAGACCCCAGCATCTCCATCTTTGACTCCTGTGCTGAAACTATTGAGTCAATTTCCATAAAATATTATTGCTTCTAAGAGCAAAAGCTATCAATATATTTTTTTTGTTTTCAGTGTAGTAGTGATACCGTTGTATATTATATACTATTATATATTTTCCATGCCAGTTAAGCAGGAAGGAGCTGAAACAGCCAACGTTCCGTGGAAAATATGGTTATACAAAATATTGTCCATTTAAAAAAAAAGTTTTCTCCATTCAGAGGGTACATTTGTGCAGTGTGGCACAAGTGCTGCTGCTGTGCCACTGCATTTGGATCCCGAGTTCAGTTCTGGACTGGGGTACCTTCCGTGTGGAGTTTGCATGTTCACCTTGCAAGTTTTTGTCAGGCACTGCGGTTTATGTGCAGTTTCCAAAGGCTTGAAGGCCAGGTTCATTTGTCTCAGCTGTGTGTATGTCCTGTCCACGTGTGTGTGGCACGGAATTCCTATCTCAGTTAATGGTACTGCGCGGTTAATGTTAATGGTACTTATCAGGATGCTGTCCTTCCACAGCCTGAGCCAGGACCAGCGCTCCATACAAGTACTCTTACCAATGAAGTCAGCTAGTAGTCACATATGGCTTGTCATTTTGAAGGATCTATCAGAGCACAGATTGTGTCTGCCTTGGGTGTTTCAATCAGATGTGTTACTGCCAAGAGTTGTCACTCAATCTCAGAAGGTGCCACTTCTTCTCTAGCCTTTCCAGGCAGTGAATTGAGTGTGACCGCACAACAGCTCGAGGGGAATTCCTGGTGACCTCGTGGTAGTCTTTCTGTACTTGTGATATAAGAACACATGAGATATAACCGTTTGCTATTTGTTCTTTACCAGCAGGCATTATTAATATTGTATGTTAGATTTTATTTAGATAGAGTGTGTGACATCTGGCAGAGTAAACATTTCTAAATTCAAAGCAGAGGGAATGTTTGCTGAGATGTTGGGGATCCCCATCCTGTGAGCAAAAACAAGCATAAAGTTTAACTTGGTTTAACTTGTTAATTTAATTGTGGGTAAATGAATGTCAATGAGCAGCATGTAGGATCATAGTTAGACCACAGAGGGTGGCAGATGAGGAGAGGGAAAGGAGGGTTAGACCATAACAGGGCAAATAATAAGTAAATGGAAGGTAGAATTTACATGTGTTTTTATTCAAAGAATGTGTAATGTAACGAATGCATTCCTCACTGGGCTCCAATTAATCTTTACTCTGCAATCTCCGACAGTTTCCAGAAATCATTGAACACTTGCAGTCACATCGCGTACCTGCCTTCAGACTCGGTGTCATACCAGTGTGTCATACTGGGGCGGAGTGGTGGATCTGCACCTGTGGCTGGAAGGTTGCTGGTTCAAATCCAGCAAGGCCCTTAACCCCAGCTGCTGCAGTGGCGCTCTGACCCCAAGCTTCTCTCTCCCCGTCTGTGTGACTCATGGAGAGCAAGCTGGGGTCTGCAAAAAGACACATTCCTAATGCAAGAAATTATATACGGCCAGAAAAGTGATCTTTTAAGAATAACACAACCAAAAGACACAGCCTTTTATTAGCACCGAGAGAGATGAATAGCTTTGAAACATCTGGTGCTCCGGAACAGAAAACGAAAAGACAGAAATACAGCAACAGTAATGTAAACAGGTCAGACTTTCAGTGCTTGTTCTGGATTGACCCCCTTTATGATGGTACGAAGGCGGGTTTAGTCATAGCATTCCTGGAAACTGGCCAATGTGACATCAGCAACACATGCTCGAGAGGTTTCAACATTTAGAAAGAAAGAAATGAAAACCACTCAAAGTGGTGGAAAACTTTTGTTGGCATCACTCTTGTCTCAGTAGAGACTGAAACACCACTGCTCATGCAGTATGTTGCCTGCTATGACTGTGGAGGCTACAGTTTTAAACAATACAGGCTCACCAATGAGTTAGTTTTTGACCTTCATCGTTATTTTAGAGCTTTTTTGACCCGTAGGGACTTGGTTAATATTCATGGTTGGAACTGTAAACTATTCCGTTGGATAACGATCATTGCTGCTTCAGTATTGGTGAGTTTGTCACTTTTGTATTATTGCAGAATAACCTCATTTTAATTTCCCCCTTCTGGGAACCTAATCGTGTTATATGTTGTATTTAAGTTCGATTTTTTTAATAGTGTTTTCTTGTCAGCTGTTTAAAAACTGTTTTTATCTTTTGGATTTCTCATAACATCAACAATAGTAAGTGAGAAAAGGGTTTTATTTTCCTACTGTTTACCTCATTAATGCTCATGCTGTTTTGGGTGAAATAGAACTGAGATTAAACATCTACCTTGGGTTCATAGTCAGGAAATGCCTGAAATCTTTTAATTTAATGTCCAACCCACACGTTGCTGTTTATATTTTCAATATAGGACTGTGAGAAGTATATGTTATTGTTAATAATGATAACAGAGGAATTCTTGATTGTGATGGTGGTGGTGAACTGTTGCACGTTATTTCAAACGCAAGGGTAACATGCTCTCACAGTCCTAGTCCCGTGCGCAGCTGAATTCTGTACTAGCTAGAATTAGGAGACAGAAGTGTGAAGTCACCAAAAAGAAGGAAATACAGTGATCAGTCCGGGACATTATAAAAGCACCCAACAAGGCTGTTGCTTCGTGTTTTAGCTGTATTTGTTAGATGGAAACAGGAAGCCTCACACATATTGTGGTGTTTTAAATGAGTAAGTGTGGCATCCTGTGAAAAAGTCAGAAAAACTAGAAGAGGGTTAATAAATTAAATTACAGTCCTGGTTAGGTCCTGCTTTGAGCCATGTAACTAGTGCAATTTGTCTTTTCTTGCCATCCTAGAAGAGGGATCCTCAGGCAGTTCGCTGACTTTGACTGAGAGGAGTCTTTGATGGCGGGACCTTCTGCTAACATGGGCGGTAAGAACAGAGAAGGTTTACAGAGTCTCACTAAAGCATAAACCTTGGCCACAGGCGAAACACTCCCTGAGGTCACAGCACACACCATCTTAGGCTTTGTTGAGAATGAAGAGGCTGTTCACAGTGCGGATGAAGATGGGGGGCATGATGAAGGTCACAGTAGTGACCAGGAGGTTTGAAGGGAATGAAAAATCCACCGTTGTCAGATCTCCCCCTGGGGACAGCCCACAGGCCTGGCTCCAAGTCTTCAAGGAGAAACTGGCCAGCAAGTCAAAGATCTGCTCCTCTAACTTTATATCCTTGAAAACCCAGGTGTGAGAGAACCAGGTGGTCAGTCTGGCCAATCAATGAGCTCTCAGCCATTAACTGATCCATCATCATCTTAGATTAGGACAGAAAATGTCCCCTGGTCCTGATGATGAAGACCTTCAGGAGGAGGTCCTATGATCTTGGGAAGAAATCCAGTGACAGGATTTCACAGGCCAGGAGCAGAGGAAGGACAAGTCCAAAGATAACATTCCCTACCCTGAGTTGTTGAAATGATATTGTCAATGTTTGGGGTTTTTTGCAAAGAAGATCTTATTATTTTCTCACCCAATTGATCGACTGACTTGTGCAAGTTCCTAGTGTGAATTTTTACGTT